ATGAGGATGGCGATGATGAGGATGCTGCTGATGATGCTGCTGATGCTGCTGCTGATGATGATGCTGATGTTGATGCTGATGATGATGCTGCTGCTGATGCTGATGATGCTGATGCTAAGGACGATGATGATGATGCTGGTGCTGCTCATGATGATGATGATGATGATGATGACGATGCTGATCATGCTGATGATGAACATGATGATGATGATGATGATGATGATGATGACGACGACGACGAATGATGATGATGATGATGATGATGATGATGATGATGATGATGATGATGATGGTGGTGGTGGTGGTGGTGGTGGTGGTGGTGGTGGTGGTGGTGGTGATGATGATGCTGCTGCTGCTGATGATGATGATGCTGATGACGATGCTGACGCTGATGATGATGACGCTGATGATGATGATGATGATGATGATGATGATGATGATGATGATGATGATGATGATGATGATGATGATGATGATAATGGGAAGGATGAGCATGAGGAGGCGGAGGTGGAGAAAGATGAGTGGGGGGATGCGGATGATGATGAGGATGAGGATACGGATGATATGCTGATGCTGCTGATGATGTTGATGGTGCTGATGACGATGATGATGCTGATGATGATGAGGCTGATGCTGATTCTGACGATGATGCTGATGCTTATGATGCTGATGATGATGCTGATGATGATGCTGATGATGATGCTGATGATGATGTTGCTGATGCTGATCATGATGATGATGATGATGATGATGATGATGATGATGATGATGATGATGATGATGATGATGATTAGAGGACGAGTGGGAGGAGGACGGGGAGGAGGAGGAGGAGGAGGAGGCGGAGGAGGAGGAGGATGATGCGTGGGAGGATGAGGACCAGGATGAGGATGCGGATGCGGGTGATAATGCGAATGATGATGATGATGATGATGATGATGATGATGATGATGATGATGATGCTGACGCTGATGCTGATGATGATGATGATGATGATGATGCTGATGCTGATGCTGATGCTGATGCTGATGATGATGCTGATGATGATGGTGATGATGATGATGATGATGATGATGATGACAGCGATGCTGATGCTGATGATGATGCTGCTGCTGATGATGATGATGATGATGATGATGATGCTGATTTTGCTGATGATGCTGATGCTGATGATGTTGTTATTGATGATCAGGCGGATGAGGAGGAGGAGGCGGAGGAGGAGGATGAGAAGGAGGATGAGGTGGGGGATGAGGATGAGGATGGGGATACGGATGATGATGATGATGCTGATGATGATGATGATGATGATGATGATGATGATGATGATGATGGTGGTGGTGGTGGTGGTGGTGGTGGTGGTGGTGGTAGATGATGCTGATGATGATGATGCTGATGATGATGATGTGGATGCTGATGCTGATGCTGATGATGATGCTGATGATGCGGATGATGACGATGCTGATGATGATATTGATGACGATGATGATGCTGATGCTGCTGATGCTGCTCATGATGATGCTGCTGATGATGATGCTGATGCTGATGCTGATAATGATGCTGATGCTGATGCTTATGATGCTGATGATAGTCCTGATGCTGATGCTGATGATGATGATGATGATGATGATGATGATGATGATGCTGATGAGGAGGAGGAGGAGGAGGAGGAGGCGGAGGAGGAGGCGGAGGAGGAGGAGGAGGCGGAGGAGGAGGCGGAGGAGGAGGAGGATGAGGCGGAGGAGGAGGAGGAGGAGGAGGAGGAGGAGGAGGAGGAGGAGGAGGAGGAGGAGGGGGGGGGGGGGGAGGAGGAGGAGGAGGAGGAGGAGGAGGAGGAGGAGGAGGAGGAGGAAAAGGAGGAGGAGGAGGAGGAGGAGGAGGACGAGGAGGAGCAGGAAACGGAGACTGTAAACGACGATGTTACTGAGGATCGAGAGGAGGTGCATGACCAACAGGCAGCGGGGGAAGAGGAGGACGAGGAGGAGGAAGAAGAGGAGGAACAACAGCAGGCAGAGGAGGAGGCTGGAGGGATAGAGGGAAGGACAGAGGTATGGATGACGATATGGAGAAACTGGGGGGAAGCGTATGCTGATGATGTTGATGATGCTGCTGATGAGGATGTTGATGCGTATTGATGATATTGATGATGCTGCTGATGCCGTTGACGATGATGATCATTGCGGCGATGTTGTCGATGTTGCTGATGATGATGATGATGATGAGGATGTTGACGATGATGATGATGATGCTGATGTTGATGATGATTCTGATGATGATACTGATGACGATGATGCTCATGATGATGCTGATGCTGATGATGATGATGCCGATAACGACACGCATGCTGATTGTGATGGTGATGTTGATGGTGATGAAGACGCCGACTGTGATAATGATGATGAAGGCGATGACGATGATGCTGATGCTGATGATGCTGATGATGATGCTGATGATGATGATGATGATGATGATGATGATGATGATGATGATGATGTTGTTGGTGATGATGATGATGCTGCTGCTGATGATGATGATGATGATGGTGGTGGTGATGATTAGGATGCTGCTGATGATCACAACGCCAACGATGATGCTGCCGATGCTGATGATGCTAATGATGATGGTGCTAACGATGACGACGACGCTTGTACGGATGAAGATGATGCGGATGCGGATGATGATGATAACGATGATGCTCACGATGGTGATGACGACGGCGATTCTGATGATGACGACGATGCTTATGATGATGACGATGCCGATGCAGAGGCTGCTGATGATGATGATGACGCATACGATGATGATGATGATGCTTATGCTGATGCTGACGATGATGATGATAATGATGATGATGATGATGATGATGATGATGATGATGATGATGATGATGATGATGATGATAATTGCTGATGCTGATGACGATGATGATTCTGACGATGATGATGCCGACGATGATGATGAGGATGCTACTGCTGCTGATGATGACGATGATGCTTCTGCTGCTGCTGATGAGGATGCTGATGAGGTTGCTGATGCTGCTGGTGATGATGATGGTGGTGATGGTGACGATGGTTGTGATGACGACGATGATGATGTTGATGAGGTGATGATTGTTTCTGATGATGATGGTGATGGTGATGATGATAATGCTAATAGTGAGGATGACGAGGATGATAATGAGGATGAAGATGTGGATGGGGATAAGGATTGTGCTGGTGATGGTGATGGTGCTGATGATGATGTCGATGATGCTGCTGACGACGACAACGCCGATGCTGGTGATGATGATGATGATGATGATGATGATGATGATGATGATGATGATGGTTGTGGTTCTGATATTGGTGGTGATGGTGACGACGATAATAGTGATCATGATGCTGCTTCTGATGCTGATGATGACGCTGCTGATAATGCTGCTGATGAGGATTATGATGATGATGCTGCTGGTTGTGGTGGTGATTGTGACGGTGATGCTGATGATGATGATGCGGCTGATTCTGCTGCTAGTGGTTATGGTGATGATGATGATGCTGATGATGGTGATGGCGCCTATGATGATGACGATGATGATTATGATGCTAATGATGATGATGATGACGACGATGATGATGATGATGATGATGATGATGATGATGATGATGATGATGATGATGATGATGATGATGGTGACGGTGATGCTGATGATGCTGATGCTGATGATGATGATGATGATGATGATGATGATGATGCTGATGCTGATGATGATGATGATGATGATGATGATGATGATGATGATGATGATGATGGTGGTGGTGGTGGTGGTTGCGATGATGATGATTATTCTGATGATGATGATGCGGAGGAGGAGGAGGAGAGGAATGAGCAGGAGGAGGATGAGCAGGACGAGGAGGAGGAGAGGAGGAGGACGAGGAGGAGGAGGAGGAGGAGGAGGAGGAGGAGGAGGGGAAAGTGGAAGAGCAGGAGGAGGGGGAAGAGGTGAGGAGGAGGAGAAGGAGGAGGCCGAGGAGGACTAGGAGGCAGATGAGGAAAAGGATATGGATACTTATGGAAGAGAAGGAAGAGGAGGAGGAGGAGGAGGAGGAGGAGGAGGAGGAGGAGGAGGAGGAGGTGGAGGAGGAGGAGGAGGAGGAGGAGGAAAAAGAAAGGGGTGAGTCCAATGAGAAGGAGAGATGTTTCTGCAGTCGAGAGCCTCAGGGGTAGACCTCCAGAGGCTTCCGGCCCCCCCTAGGTTCATGTCTTCCGAGTAACGGATCGCACGCTACGCGCGTTTTCCGTCACCTCGTCGGAGGAGGTGCGGCTGCTGTGCGAGGATGCTCGCGGCCTGCGCAGCTGCGGTGAGAGATCTCAACAGGACCCAGCAGGAGTTCGTAGGTGGCAGCGAGACTTCTGGCCAATTGAATTGGCGGCGTGAGAATTCCAGCCAAGTGACGGCATCAGTGGCTTCGCATGCCTTCGCGCTGCCCGTGCTGCCAGTGGAAGCCACTTGGAGCCACCTGAGTTGGCACAGAACCTGGGCTTGCAGCAGTTCTCCAACGCCTGTCCCTGACGCGGAACGTGGCGGGGTATCAGCCTGTTCCTGTATGCGGCGCACCTGGGCGAGAGCCATGGGGCCGTCTGTTGCTGGGTTTGGTCGCTGGGCCACTGACGATGGGTGCGTAACTGAAAAAACGAATTCCTACGTCGTGCGTTTCAGCCCCAGCGTGTTTTGTTACTCTTGGCTTCCAGGGGTCGTTTTCGAATCTACTGCCGAAACACGAGAGGAGGAGGAGGGGTCAGCACGACGCTCCACAAAGTCACTACATCAGATTGATTTCTATCCCCTTGAGGGGCGTTAGAGGGTATGACACTTGGAACGGCGCCGATGGTGATGAAAATGAGTAGGAGGAGGAGAAGGAGGAACACGAGGAGGAACACGAGGAGGAAGAAGAGGAGGGATGAGCAGGAGCAGAGGGAGGGCGGAGCGGGAGGCGGCGGTGGCAGCGGCAGCCTGTCGCGAGCGCGAGGCGGCGAGCGCCTGCGGGGGCGCAACATCACGCAGCGGCCCGTGAACGGCGGGGCGGCGTGCGAGGGGCCGCTCAAGCAGGCGCTGGCCTGCGGGCCTCGTCCTCGTCGTCTCGTCGTCCTCGCCGTCCTCGCCTCGCCTCCTCGCCCCGGACCCCCAGCGCACTGA